TGTGAGTGTGAGAGTGTGAGAGTGTGTGAGAGTGTGTGTGTGTGTGTGTGTAGGAGGCAGAGCCAAACACAGAGACCAGGACCACACCGACCAACCGGTCTGTCTCCTTAAGATGCTGGAATAACGGCGAGAAACGAACATCTTTCGATTGTTGATCGAGACCAGCTCACTTACTCACCAAAATGTCTGGAAAAATAGACAGTAAGCAAGGTAAGCGTTTACCTTTGTTTACATTTATTAATAATTTGAAGATGAACTTCAGTTAGCCGCGTTAGCATTAGCGTCAGACGAGGGTTCAAGGCCACTGACAGGATCAAAGCATCTTATCTTTATCTTATTTGTAATGGCCCAAACGCGACATATAAACGCCTTAGATGATATATTCAGGTCTTTAAATTCATTTATAAGATAATCTGGTATTAATGTTTACATGAGTTTGTCTCAGACAGCTGTATTTGGGTGTGGACGGAGCTGCTTATAGCGCTGTTGTTGACTTTAGTTAGCTGTCAGACTCGTTTTTATCCAATTTCTCCTATTTGTTGTTTATTTTAAATATGTAGTTTGGGTTTTGTTGCACTGTTTATCTGTAGAGTTTGTGTTACAGTTGTTTTTGTGCTGCTATCTGGTTCTTTCTGGTCGTGTTTGGTGTGTTTTAATGGTCTGTTGTCCACAAAATGTAACGTTAACGTTACTATTCTGTGTATTTAAACGTACTCATTAACGTTAATATTAATAGTCTGAACTGTTTATATGATACATTTCGCATATATGTTGTATAAGTGCTCGTATAGTTTTAACGAGCTTGTGACACAAATGACAACAAGATATAGATAGTTTCTGCGTAATTTATACAGTCGAATTATATACAATACAAATATGTACAGCTGAGCTGGGTAGAGAGATACTCCTGGATATGAGATACTACTCCTGACATAAACCTGTTAACTTGAAGATTTTTACTCATGTTTTTGTGACTTGATGAAATAGGTTACACTGACAAGTAAAAACCAATGTCACTTCCTTTATCAGAAGTTTTAGGGAAGTTTGAGACATTTACTATAGGTTAACAGTTCACTCAGAGCTAGACAGACAGATAAACAAGCAACTTGGATTATATATATATATATATTATCCAAAGCGACTTACAAATGAGGACAATGGAAGCAATCAAAATCAACAAAAGAGCAATGATATGCAAGTGCTATAACAAGTCTCAGCTTAATGCAGTACACGTAGAAATCTTGCTAATTACTTATAAAGGCCTGAATGGTTTAGCACCTCAGTATTTGAACGAGCTCTTGTTACATTATAGTCCTCCACGTCCGCTGCGTTCTCAAAACTCTGGCCATTTGATAATACCTAGAATATCAAAATCAACTGCGGGCGGCAGATCCTTTTCCTATTTAGCGCCCAAACTCTGGAATAACCTACCTAACATTGTTCGGGAGGCAGACACACTCTGTCAGTTTAAATCTAGATTAAAGACCCATCTCTTTAACCTGGCTACACATAACACACTAACACATTTCTAATATTCAAATCCGTTAAAGGATTTTTAGGCTGCATTAATTAGGTCAACCGGAACCGGGAACACTTCTCATAACACCCGATGTACTTGCTACATTGTTAGAAGAATGGCATCTACGCTAATATTAGTCTGTTTCTCTCTTATTCCGAGGTCACCGTTGCCACCAGATCCAGTCTGTATCCAGATCAGATGGTCACTGCAGTCACCCGGATCCAGTACGTATTCAGACCAGATGGTGGATCAGCACCTAGAGAGGACCTCTACAGCCCTGAAAGACAGCGGAGACCAGGACAACTAGATGAGCCACAAAGACAGATCCCCAGTGGGGGCCTTGTCTCCTAGACGGCCACCGGGACAAGACCACAGGAACCAGATGAGTCTTCTGCACAATGTGACTTTGCTGCAGCCTGAAATTGAACTGCTGGTTTGGTCTGGCCAGAGGAGAACTGGCCCCTGACTGAGCCTGGTTTCTCCCAAGGTTTTTTCTCCATTCTGTCACCGATGGAGTTTTGGTTCCTTGCCGCTGTCGCCTCTGGCTTGCTTAGTTGGGTACACTTCATTTCCAGCGATATCGTTGACTTGATTGCACATATACTATTTAAACTGAACTGAGCTGAATGAAGACATCACTGATTCAATGATGAACTGTCTTTAACTGGAAAATTAGTGTTTACTATTGTCATTTTGCATTATTGACACACTATTTTCCTAATTAATGCTGTTCAGTTGCTTTGACACAATCTGTATTGTTAAAAGCGCTATATAAATAAAGGTGACTTGACTTGACTTGACTATAACAAGTCTCAGCTTAATGCAGTACACGTAGCATTTTTTTTTTTTTTATCATATAATATATACACACACACACAGTATGTGCTGAAACATTGAACTGAATGCAAAATGCCATTGCATCATCTTATCATTAATAAATATATATGTGGTTTATGCAATATTTTTTATGGGTTTGTTTTTTGTGCCAGGGGGATAATTGTATCTAAATTTGAAAGCTGTGATTTGAATAAAGCTGTTTGGACTCACCCATTCACTCCAGTAGATCTGTTGATGAGCAAGGGATGTAATGCTACATTTCTCCAGATCTGTTCTGATGAAGAAACAAACTCAGCTACATTTTGGATGGCTTTTGGAGTCATTTTCAGTACTCCTTTAATAAGTTGATTCAGAAAGATTTGAATCACTTGATTCATGTCAGGCTAGTTTAGAGACAGTGGTGCAGAAATTGTTCAGTGCAAGTTTTATGTTTTACTCTCCTGCACTCAGTGACTGTATGTGTGACTTTTTATGAATAAAGCAAAATGTCTTTTAACTACCCTGTGAGGTTGCCAGCATTGTCACTTCCTTGCTCTGAGGAAATTTGAATCACTTGTGGGTAACTTCTTGTCAGAAGTTCAGTTATTCATCTCTAAATGGCCCTGCGATGTAGATGCTGGTTTGCGTAGGAGGATGTTGGCCAGTGTCTTCTAGTTTCAGACATATCTCTTGAACCGCCCTTGTTTTAGCTGGTAGAGATGTCTGCATTATTTTAGTAACAAAAGAATCAGAATTTGGAAAGGGAAGTTTCTTTGCTCTTTTTAAGTTTATCAGGTCATGCTGACGATATTTTTGTCTTCATTTTTCTACTTTGCCATTTTTATGCTATAGAGCTGTTGTGAAATGCAGTGTTGCACAAATCTGTTTGATTGAGAATTATTGCTTTGTAGGATAAATCACAAAATGACAGTTGAAATCAATGCCAAATGCATTACAAATTCTTGTCTAAAAACAAGTTTTCATTTACCAGACAACTTTACTTTAATGAAGCTTCTTGCGTTGATGTTTTAAACCCAGACTCTGGGGGGGAGTCAGTACAGATGTTGTGGTTGACTAGTTTGTTTCAGAAGAGGATATGCAAAAAAAAAAAGAGGATATGAATTAGTGACACTTGATGGCACTTTCCACTGAGTGAGGATCTAGAAGCGGATGGAAAGATCACGTCCTCTGTAAGCACAAGCACACCTTATTGGTTTGCCGTGTTTTTATTAGCAGAGCAGCGCGTTTTCTTAGACAGTGGTTCAGGAAGTTGGCTCTCATGGGAAATTTAACCTGTTTAGATTAGCAGTCACATCAGTGACTGTGAGATAAGACAGATACGACTTCCATCATCCTGGGTAATTCCAGTCCTCCGCAATTTTAAATGCATTAACTTTCTGTAACCGCTGAATTTGCTGTTGTGGTCAGATTACCAATAACAAATTTAAATGTTAATTGACAATCTTTTCGTTCCATGAAAATGGTCCTAAAATATTAATGACAACTCACCCAATTGCAGATTTTTGATTGTGCAAATCATAATGTCCTTCCTGCTTAAACCAGCTGCTTCTGACTAGCTAGTAATTAGTATGTTTACCATGTACATTATCATGTTTACGCATAAGATATCAACTAAAACCCATGCACCTTAATTAGGTTAGACACCTTATTGAATTTAACGTGGATGAAAGCGTGGCTCTGAGAGATAGACTTACAGTTTTTACAATGGCACACACTGTAAAGGTCCAAGATCATGTCATTTTCACAACTCAGAACTGTCAAAACTGTTTTATGGAGTTTTTGTATACTGAGGTTTTTATTTTTCAGAAAGACGTTTCGTCAGCTAAACAGTCGGTATGTTCTTAAACGGCACAATCCATTAAACGCACTGTACTTCTATCCCTCACAGCCTAATTTTTGTTAAAAAAGTAATTTTGGCACTACTCTGACTAAGGTCTCTTGGCTATTTATTAAAAGTGCCAAACTGTTCCTGACCCAACTTCCTGTTTTCAATAGGAAATATATCAATACACAAAGAAAAGCTTACATATTTGATATGTGTTTTTCTTTTTTGTGTCTCCTAAATACTTAATCTACGCACACCCAGCTTTCAAAGCTAGTATCCACATTAGTCGAAAATCCTGACAAAACTCCATTAAGCTCCCTTGTCGGAGTCTTTCCGGCTTTGATATGAAGGATCTGTATCATATGATTTGAAAGTTCACAGAGCACTCTCGCAAACCCCGAGCTCTTCATTCCTTTAATGTGTGTGAGGATAAATTGCCCCTAAATGGTTTTGTGGCCTGCACAATTGTGTCATCACCAGAATTCATTCCAGAGCAGCACGCTCTAAGAGAGCGGTAAGTCCCACTGTGACCAATTCAGTTTGTAGTCGAAGAGGATTTCACTGTGTATACAAAGGCCTGTGTCTTATCTCGCATATATTCCCAAGATACAGAATAAGGTTGATGTCTCATAGAGCAGTGAACTGGAAAGCTGCTGCCTAAATTACTGCAAGATGACATGAATACTTTGGATAAGTGTAGTTATGGTTAGCTAATAATACAATTTAGGGCTGCACGATAAATCGCATGCGATATTTAATGCGCATCTTGTCAGTAAAGCTGTTAATTATATATATATATATATATATATATATATATATAATTAATACATAATTATATTATATAGACATGCATACATGTATACACGTATATATTAACAACTATGAGCAAATAAACTTTTTTGAGCTAATTTACCTTATAATTATGTTTGTTTTTTTGTCTTCCTTCAGAATCCCAGCGCTCCCACTTGACGTCCTTTACGATGAAACTAAAGGACAAATTCCACTCTCCCAAAATCAAGCGAACACCATCAAACAAAAAGTCCAAACCACCACCAGAACAACCCGTGAAGTCCCCAGAGAAGACCGTGACCAAGGTAGTAGAAGATGTTAACTTTATAAGCAGCTTTTTGTCTGAAAGCAAATAAGCACATTGTTATCTTTTGACGTATTGAAGACATTGGTTTTGGTGACATTCTTTTTAACCACATTTAGACTCTGAGTCGATTGGAGGAGCATGAGAAAGAAGTGGTCAGCGCTTTGCGGTACTTCAAGATAATTATTGACAAGATGGCGGTGGACAAGAAGGTCTTGGAAATGCTTCCTGGTTCTGCTAGCAAAGTTTTGGAGGCCATCATGGGCTTGGTGCAACTTGATGGCAAGATACTGGGCAGGTAAAGCTGTTTTTGAGCTTCTTGAGAGAATTAGTTTCTTGTTCAGCTTTTTAAAAAAAACATGTTTTCTGCATTAACTATATAAATATTTTATTTCCCTGTCCATCTGTCACCAGTTCGAGAGTGTCCTCCTGTCTCAGTCGACTCTATCAAAGTCTTGCAAACCTCATTCGCTGGTCGGACCAAGTGATGCTGGAGGGGGTGAATTTGGAAGATAAAGAAACAGTTGCAACCGTCACCACTGTGATCAAAGCAGTGCTGGATGGTGTGAAGGTATTAATGTTCAAGTAGAACTCTGTTATGACTTGTCTTCTGTCTGACATCTGTTCTCTGCCCATATTCCAGCTGTATTTAGCCATGGGTTTTGTTCTTAGTTGATAGTTTTGTGTAAAGCCGACTTTGCCTGTGGTTTCCTGTAGGAGCTGGTCAAAGTCGCCATTGAGAAGCAGGAGCACCCCTCCCCTACGACACCTGTCAAAACCCTGCTTCCTGCCGCCAGTCCACAGCGGTAAATGGAAACCTTTTTTGAAAAACATTATGCCTTGAGAAATTCTTTAAAATTGAGGTGGATGATGTTGAAATCCAAATTTAAATTCAGCTGGGCTGTTGACCTGTAATATGATGTTATGTGTTGTTAATTTCAACCACTTTTATTATGGCAGTGTTCCAGAGCCCCCTGTCATTGAGTCGAAGGAAACGGTCTTGAATGATACCCCTACCCCAGCCGAGGCCACAGAGACCCTAAATGATGTTCCTGATGAGGAAGCGGCCCCTCCTAAACCCCCTCTACCTGGACTCAAAGTGCCTGAACATTGGTATGAAAACATTTAGTCTAATTTTAAGCTTTATGGCCTTTATATATAAAATAAGTTATATAAAATAAAAATCTAAAATAAATATTATATACACATAGTTTTTTAATTAGAGCCCGACCGATATGGGCTTTTTGGGGCCGATACCGATATTAGGGAGTAAAAAAAGGCCGATATTGATATATCGGCCGATATTCTTTGTGTATATTATAGTACAGTACAAGTCAAAAGTTTGGACACTTTCCCATTCGTGTGTCCAAACATTTGACTAGTACTATACAGTATATAGAATACAGTATATACATAAACAGAATATATATATACATAAACACATTTTTTGCAATGATCACTCAAATGTGGTGATTAAACACTTATAATGATGTGACAGAGATACGTAATGGAGGCAGGGCATTTAACAATTTAACAATAAACTTTATTATCCAAAATGAGTCTGACATCAGTGCACTGAACAGTAAAGTTGAAGTTTATTCAACTTTAATTCAATTCAATTCCATTCAACTTTATTCCGTTCCCTTGGAACTGGAATCATGGCGGAATTTCATGTGAAGTCCACTTCGCAGGGCACTTGCGGTCGAATAAGACAACGCTTGAATGCTGCTGCCTGAACAAGAGACCTCCTTACTGAGGTGAAAGTGTGGACTGGTATCACTATCTCGCGAACGCTCCAGCGGATCTCCACCAAATTCGGGGGATCCCTTCAGCTCGAGGAGCCTTCTCGAACGCCACCCCTGCGCTTCGGTAGCCCCCTGGGATGGCTTGATCGGTCGGCGCCGGACTGTGAATTTAACCACCCGTAACTCCCGAACCCCGGGGGCTATCGACGCGGGGGTGGTCTCATTCGAAAGCGGGCCTCTAGACGTACACTCAATTCGCGTTCTAGAGGGTTCCTCGAGCTGAACGGATCCCCCGAATTTGGTGCAGATTCCCGTTACGGAGATATGGCCGTTCAAAGTTTCAATGGTTTTCCATAGACTTAAGCTTTAAAGCGTTTCATCCAGGTCGCCAGTAACAAACAACGGAGCGCGCTCTGCTGGACAAACTAAGTAATTACACCATTTCAAGAATTTTATCTGCGTTATATGTTCTGTAAAAAAAAAATTCATATCGGCGGCATATTCGCCGATACCGATATATCGGCGGCAGGCTCATATCGGCCGATAATATCGGCAAACGATATATCGGTCGGGCTCTAGTTTTAATGTTATTAAATATTCAATATATTTTCAAATATATATGTATATATATATATATATATATTATATATTTTAATCTATTTATTTTTTAATTTATAAATAATATTTGATTATTATTTAAATAATGTTTTATGTTTAGTTTTTTTTCTGTTTAATTTCATTTTTATTTAAAATGTATCGCTAGAATAGTACAAAATCACACATCAGGGTTTTAAACTGCTTTAAGATATATCCTCAATTTTGGGGTTAAAAATGGTAAACCTATAGAAAAAAGAAAAGAAAAAAAACAACAGAAATGTCAGAACCTGTTGGGTAGTGTTGCAAGCTTTATGCAGTGAAACAAGTGAGTGTGATTGTAGGTGGTACTGCATTGTAGGCGAGCAGTTTATGAGAGGAAATATGAAGTATGCTGTGTTATCTTATCGTGCTATCTTATCTGGATTACATGCAGTAAACATTTAGAGATCACAGGTGTGATGTGGTGTGCAACAGCATGTCGTGTATGTTTTAAGCGCTGGGCTTGGCTACAGATGATTGCACAGACCCATTTCGGTTTGCGGGAAGCCTAAAAGAAAAGGTGTGAAAGAGAGATATAAATAGTGGTATTCTTGAGAATTCAGGTCTTTGTAGGGTGCAGCAGCGAAGGCTCGGCTTCCTCTAGCAGAGAATCATTGACATACGGGCTGTTTTCTGAGAAATTAACTTAACAGTGTCAGTTCTCCTCTGAAGACTGAAGGAGACAAGAAAGGGAGAGAGAGAAACAGCAAGAAGGCATATTCTGATACCAAGTCTAGACAGGAGAGGATTAGGTTGTGCCACTGGCATAAAAGAGAGTTTGCTTTGTACTTTGAATTATTTGCTGGCGTTTCCATGTTTTTGGCCTGTTTCCAGCCTTCCAACAAGTCTGTGTCTCGGATATATAAGCTTTTTGTTGGAGATTATTTTGATGCCAAGTTTAGCTTACCACCTGGTCTGTGCTCTCAGCAGCTTTTTTTAAATTTATTTTTATTTTTTTTTTGTCTATAATTTAAAGTTAGTTTGATTCTAAATAGGGTTAATTCAAACAAAAATGAAAAATCTGTCATCCTGTCATTATTTACTCATCCTCATGTCATTTCAAACCCCTACAACCTTCTTTCTGCTATGGAACACAGCAGACGTTTAGCAGAATGTTCGAATTGCTTTTTACATAAATTTCATTGTTTAACATTAATAAGAGAGCGTACTCACTGCTATTGATGGTTTACTTGAATAATTAATGGAAAATTTAGAAGCAATCTTTACTTCATTGAGAAATAATTCAGTGTCATTAATTTAATTTGTTCATTTTTATTTTAATATTGGTATTGACTACTGGAATTTTGCTGATATTGTGAAAACCCTGTGGTGCAAAAAAAAAAAAAATGCAGAAGCGCAAATTATTTTTGAGAGCTGCTATTTAGATTTAGATACAGCATTGTACATTTTAATTATTTAAAACCTAAATTTTGACATCCAGCACTATAAAAATTATTGCACTCCATTTCATTAACAAGCAAGTATTCGCACAATCTGTCAAGTGTTTGAAATTGAACAAGGCTGCTACATTTAACTGCACACTTGCTATTAGGACAAGCTGCTTTTCAAATTGGAAATATTCACATTATAAGAACATAACGATAATGTCTAAGTTGCGTTGTGGTGAAAAACCTCTCAACCACATTGTTCACGTTGTTCACTCTGTCAAAGTGCTAGATGCGACAACCTGACCCCATATGAAACTATTTGCATTTAGCGTGCTCGCATGCTTTGGACAACTTGCATCATACACTTTTTTTTTTCTCCACTACAGCTCACTGTTTTTCATTAAAATGATTTTTTTTAATACTGCAAGTGAAGTCTCTGATGAAAGTTCTGCATGTGCAGTGCAACGCCCTGATGAATAATGAAATTTGTTGTTGTCTGTTTTCAGTCGTTGTTGCAGCCCTAATATCCCAAATGCGCTGTGAAGCACAGTTAGCTCACTGAAATGGCATGTAGATGCTTTCATGTCCAACAGCTACTCGGCTCACAGCCGAAAATGAGTTTACATCAGTCAGACTGTTCAAATAAATGACCGTGTTAGGACTATGACAGATCCTCCAGGTGTTTTATACTGTCCCTTCATTGCGGGAACTTCTCTCTCTCTCACACACACACGATGCGCAAAACTCCGCATTTGAACAGTCAATTGCAAATACTTAAACTAATAACCTAATAACAAAACAGTAGCTGATTCAGAAGCGCCAGATTGTCATTCATAGCAAAGTCAGAATTACCTCTTCTCCAAGGTTCACGAAGCGGTCGTCCATAAAATGCATTGCTGTTCTGTTGTAAGTAATCTTAAAGATTCCTAAATGCATCTACTTTCGGAAGGCCAAATAAAGTGCTTTTGCTTTCGCCTAGAAACACACAGCGTCTCCTTGACATGGCTGCTTCAACACTAACTGCTGTTCCTGAAACCACGCCTTCTTTCTTTGCGTGATCATTTGGGCGCATTATGCAAATATTTCCACATGGTGAGGTAGATATGTGGGGGCGTGTTAGAATGAGCCGTTTTAGGGGGGCGTGGCAGAGTCTTAACTTTGATAAAGAATATCTCTTTGGTTTTGAGACTTTAGTCTTTGCAACTTCAGGGATCTTATCTATGCACAATCAGCTTGTAACACTCCAAAGAGAAAGGAAAACTTGAAATCGCATCATATGACCCCTTTAATCTCCATTCAAGCCTCTCGTCTGGTGAAACTTTTTAAGACTGACCTGGTATCTACCTGACCTGGTATGTTGAGACTGGTTATTTAGAAGATAATCGTTGGTATTTGTAAATGTCAGCCAGCTGTACTCTACATTCACTATGAGTCAGTTCTTCTGCTAGTTGCTCTGCTGTATGACTTCAGTGTTAGTAGCTGTTTTGGGGCGACAGAGCAACTAACCAGACTGACTGAATAACTGATTTATGAAGTTGTGGTTTGTGGTCCCTGAGCTGTATTCCACTTTTGCTTTGCAAAAATGTTCCTGGTCGCTTGGGATTGGTTGCAGATTTTCATAACACAGAATTTGTCTGTAGGTTTCTTGATTGACAGCTTGTATGAGACTAATTTACTTTTCAGTATGACTATAGTTAATCTGTTTGATGCTAGCATTGGCTAAACAAACTCTCCCTTTGCAGTCCACCGGCTCTCCCCCCAAAGAAGCGTCAGTCGGCACCGTCTCCCACAAGGATTGCCGTGGTTGCGCCAATGAGTCGTACCACAAGTGGATCAAGTCTTCCTATTGGTATCTGTCGACAGGTGAGATTTTGGTGTTCCCTTGGTGCTCCAATCTGCAATTTAAGAACCTAATGTGGGCCTAATGTAACACATTTTGGGATAGTTTTGGTTTTAAAATGTGTGTATTAAAATTAAATTAAATAGAAATATATATAATTTAATTTTTTATTCAAAATATTTCATAAGTATAGTACAAAATCACACATCAGGATTTTAAAATGCATTAGGACATGTCCCAAATGAAATGAAAAATTGCAAACCAAATAGAAAATGAATAACAGTCGCTCAAGGTCTTACTCTTTCCCCAAAATTGTTTAGTAACAAGTCAGAATTAATTTGAAGTTACATGCAATGGTCACTCAGTTGTCAGTAGCTAGAGTGGCTTTTAAAATGATAGTTGACCAAAAAAAATTGAAATTCTGTCATTATTTACTGATCCTAATATAATCTGTGGAGCACAAAAAGGAATTTGGAAGGACATTTTAACTGTTGTTGTCCATGAAGTGAAAGTCATGGTGTCCAAAGACATTATTTTAAACATCTTTTGATGTCGAAGAGAGAGAAAAAGTCCGGTTTGAAGCATCAAGGTGAACAAATATTTCATGTTTGATTGAACCGTTCTTAATTTCATCTAAAGGAATATGAGGCAGAGGCCTTACAGAGGCGTTTTTCAGGAGGCAGTCACTCCTATGGAGCGGAATCTCCACGACTGTCCCCATGTGGCAGCATCGGCATATTGAGCAAATCAGATGAACAGCTGTCGTCTTTGGAGCAGGACAGTGGACAGTGCTCTCGTAACACCAGCTGTGAGACTCTAGGTGAGTCTTTAAATCATTGTTGAGAAAGCTACTTTGAAACGATAGCTTGTCAGACTACATGCCTCAAGAGTGGTTTAAATATATTGATGAGTTTTATCTTCTCTGTTTTGTCCCCTGGTTTACTCAGACACAGCAGAGAGCTACGACCCCGACTACGACTTCCTGCATCAGGACCTGTCTAGCATCGACCAGATCCCTCCCGCACACACGGGGGGTTGTCTGAGCCCACTCCCCGAGGCTCACAACGAATCATCCTCCTTCCCTGTTCAGCTTCAATCAATACCGCCCGCTCTCCCGAAGAAGGAACGGCGACCCCCTCCGCCTCAGGTGGAACGACTGTACTCTCAATATGACAATGTTCCTGATGAGGACATGCAGACCCCACCGTTCCCCCTCTTTGCTTCGATGCCACCCTCAAACCCTGGAGTATTTATGGGAAACTTTGGCCCCGCTGAGAACGCACAGATCCCTCAGAGCCCTCCACCCCTGCCGGAGAAGAAGAGTCGCCATAGTGAGTATGAGAAATTTAGATATGTTGTTTGTAGGATAGCAAGTCAGAGTAAGAAACGCTTGTTTAGTCAGATCTGATAGCCTTGTGGGCAGCGCTATGACATGTAGCACTGTTGCACTTTGGGAAAACCAAGTTAAGGCCCATTCACAACAAGTTATGGAGTATAACTGTCTACATACTGTCCTCTCATAATAAAGGCAAAAATGAAAAAAATAAAAGTAAAAATCTTACAAATTAAAAATAATTATAATAAAGTATAAATAATATTATTGATACTTCTGTCCCTGTATCAGCACAAGGTTGACATTCAAATTTAAAAAAAGATGAATTGCAGAATAATTTTAAAAGGTCTTTTCTTCCATATTGTGATGTACATCTTAGTAAAACAGATTACTGAAAAATAAAAAATGTATGGCGGGGACTTGGTTCCATTTATCAGTTGTTGATTGAGGCAGATCTGAATGAGAACTTGTTTAAGGGGGTTAACAAAATGATTGAAGAAGTCCGGCACTTACCACCAGAGAGAAATCTGTCATTTCACTTTATGATTGAGTTATGTAAATTTTTATTAAAAAATTATTTGGTCCAAAAAAAAAAAAACTATATACCAATGAATCATTCACAATAATACCAATAGCATGCATTTAGAAAATAGGGTGAATTTTCATTTCATGCCAACTTTAAAAGCAGCATTTAATCTTTGAGTGCTATGACCAAACAGGTAGTTCGAGCCCTGGCTTTTTTGTTTGTCTTCAGACTAAGCTGTTTGCACAGTTCACTAAATTCCTTGTGTAATCTATGCGAGGAATGACGCAGTATGGCAAAGCCAGTTTTTCACCAGTTTTTCTCTGTAAAGCCCTTCAGTGTCTGGTAGGGGATGGGATACAGTGATGTCATCTTCAATGTGAGGTCAGATGGCATAATGCCTTTGTTGGAGAGATCTCTTAGTGAATACAGTTCAAGGCCTCACCCAAGCCGGCAGGAAATGAGCTCTTGCTGAAAGACTCTTGTTTGGAGGGAGGGATGATTGAATCATGTCGTAATTCACACATGAGCGGTGTGGCTTGATAGAAGAGTTTATGTGAGGCCACACAGAGGATGCTGAGCTGTTTTTCTCTTTTATATTTTATTAACTTTATTTATTACAGAGCATTACAGACATGTTCAATTTATGTTTGAGCCTTTTGGTAATCTTCATATTCCAAAATAATCTAGGACATAAACCTACTATTTATTTATTTGTTTAATTTTTATTATTATTATTTTTATATATAAATGCAGGTGAACTGTTATATCTTTAACATATCACATAGGAATGTGTTGAATTATCTATCCATCTATCTATCTATCTATCTATCTAATTAAAAATTATTGTAAAATATTGTTGATAATACAAATAACAATTATTTCTAGAAAACTTAGATTAATACATGCATATGTCAGCTGTTTTATACAGATTCATCCTAGTTAGCAGATTATTGAATCTTGAGATTATTGAATATTGAGCGTCAATATTAATTTGCATACTGCTTACAAATGGGATTATGACCAAATTCTGCTTGATTTCACAAATAAACAGAATAAAATGCTGAATGACTATGAATGATTCATGCAGTAAACTGTGCCTTCACACCCTCTTACAGTCTCTTAGTCTCATTTTGGCATCATAACCTTTACCTTCTTTATGCATGTGCTAGTTTTTAGCACCTTGTGTCTTGATTTAACCTATTTACTTTTTACCTCGTTTACCCACAGTACTGAAGTACATGCAGTTTATGGAGGACTATTCTGAGCCACTGCCTTCCGTTTTCTACCAGACGCCACAGAGTGAAAGCATTTACGAGCAGCGCAATAGGAAGCGTTTTCAGGAAGTGTACGGTCTCAGCGACTCCTTCAGCAGCAGTGATGAGACCCTCCCTCCGCCAGCACTGCCACCCAAACAGAGACAACTGGTGAGAGCTAGATCACTGCCGTCAGTGCTGCGCCCACACACGCTGTGCACACTTTGAGTCTGTCTCATTCTCACCCTCCCTAGACTTTGATGCAATGTTTTTCTTCCAACTGAGAGTCACCATTAATCATAATGGTAGCAGTATTATATTTTTCCGTAGAGTCAGATTATTGCTTGTAGAAAAGCATTCATTCTGTGTTGGTCTTACTGAAGTTCAAGTGTTGCCTTGGGCGATCAGTGTCGTATTATGCCAGTAAAAGTACGTCTTCATCTTACATCATCTATTTTCTCATTGTGAACGTGTCTGATGTTTATTCAGCTAATGCCTATGAGAAACAGCTCAAATAAGAGTAAAATGTAGTAAACATCCTTTAAATCTTGTGCTATTCCTGGCCGTGTGTAGCACCTGCAGCTCTGCATATCCTTTTGTGGCATCTCAATGTTAGAAACAAGCGACTGAAGTTTATTTTTAACAAGGTTCTTGGTTATTTTTATGACACTTTTTAGAACAGAGACTTGTTTTGTTTTATGGACCTCTAATGCAGTTTTACAAAGAGACTGTTATAAAAGGATGGTACATTTTTACACCTAATAAATGATGAAAGGCATATAGGACCCAGAGGGAAATCTGAAAACTTGCAAACAGGCATGAGAAAAAGGCATTTGAAGACACTGTATCTAATTTGACATGCAAAGAGGAAATTTACATAGAAGACTTAAAGCCACAATGCAAGGTTTAGAAATATAATCTATGTTATATTGTACTGATAAGGTTAAAAGTGGGCACCAAGGGAGAAAAATAAAATATATATATATGTATATATATATATATACAATTTATTTATTTTAATTAATGGGGTTTATTTTATATATGGGGTCGAATTTTTTTGACTATAAACTGAAAACAGCATCTTAATTGATTTTTTTGTTTCAATACTTTGTACTGTTCTTACTTTTCCCTCATTCTTTTCATTTGACTTGGTTTCCACTGTTTCTCTCTCATTCCGTGTGACTGAGCAGAAGGATTCACTGAGGTGTGTTGCTTAGTTTTGAGCTTAGGTATAAAGTTAACCCTATGTGCTAGTAGCTATACTACGCAAGTTTAGCCATTCATTTGTGCTTTTAGTTTTAGTAATTTCCTGTTTTTGTTCCCACACTCTGACTAGCAAGCACAAGCAGTTGCCAGGCAAAAAATAGAAACCTTTGTCTCCCAATATTTTACACAATTCTTTCACATAATGTTCTTTCATGCTTCACAGTAGACTTTCGACTGAATAGACGTCATATTTAACTGGACACAAATAAAAATAGCATTCAAATAGGGCTTTTAAGGCCTAAGGTCACGTCTGATTTTCACAAACTATGATTAAAAATGTTTTATTTGTGTCACGTTTAAAATGCTGTCTGCTCTGACTAAGGTCCATTTCTTAATTCAGCTCGCATCTGCTCAATAATCTATACTGTGCATGAATCTCTGGCCTTTTTTCTCTTCCTTCCTCCACTCTTCTCTTCCCTCCTAGGCTTCCTCACACTCTGCATCTCCTTCCTCCTCCTCTTCCTCCTCTCTGTCGGGTCAGCTGCAGCAGTGTGCGTCCGGGCCTGGCCCTGGTGAGACAGAAAGTGCTCTCAGCCTTTCTGCATCTAACTCCTGTCTGAACCACCAGGGCTCCCTGCCTGTCCCTACGGTGAGTCTCGCTTGCCTTTTGCTGGCCTCTAACCCGTTAACCCATCTTTTTGTACTAATAAAGCCTTTAATATCTTCTTTAAAGCCTAATTTAACAGCAGTGCCTGCAAAGTGTTGACAGTTTAGGTGAGTTTAGGTTTTAGGAACCAGTTGTAAAGTTTTAGAGGATTAGTTCACCCAAAAATGAAAATATGCTGAAAATGTAAGGCCATCCAAGATGTAGATGAGCTTGTTTCTTCACCGAACAGATTTGGATCACTCACCAATGGATCCTCTGCAGTGAATGGGTGCCGTCAGAATGAGAGTCCAAACAGCTGACAAAAACTTCACAAGCCACACGACTGTGGACAAGCTTTCTCCAGTGAAAAAGTCTATCTCCTGTTGCCCTCTCACATCAAAATGATTGTAGTAGTGGAGTTGTGTGTATTGTTGTGATGGTTTTACCTGCTGTTTAGACTCTCATTCTGACGGCACCCATTCACTGCAGAGGAGCCTTTGGTGAGCAAGTGATGTAATGCTAATTTTCTCCAAACCTGTTCTGATGAAGAAACAAACTCATCTACATCTTGGATGGCCTGAAGGTGATAACATTTTCAGCAAATTTTCAATTTTGGATGAACTTTAATACTATGATGCAGCATTTTAAACACTGCAGTTATGATTCTGAAGTTTTTCAATTTGTCTCCACATGCTGTGAAGTAGCACAAACATGCAAACACCGCTGATTGTCTAATTATTGACTCTTTGTAGGTGTGTGTGCCAGCGGCTACAAAAGGAAACATGTTTATAATAGCTCACATGAATCACAGGTGCTGTAGCCTGTAGGCAGCGAATAGTTCACAACCTCAATTAACGGCGGCACTGCCTTGTTAGGGTTCAGTGATTTATTTTATTATTATTTATTTTTTTCCTGTACATGCCTCTAGTCTTCAGTGGCAGAGATCTAAAGAGTCAAAAGCATGTACCATACAGGGGTCCTGCAACTGTGACCTGCTGAAAAGCTCAGGTTAAACATGCATCATCCTGCAGGGACTCGTCGGGCTCCCCGCTGTTAGGTGACTGAGCTGCCTGTTATGATGTTATGTCCGCTGAGCTGTATCCTCTGACTACTGAATCACAGGGAACTCTTTTCAATACCTCTTATTGGGAAACCGACTATATAGATGATCTGTCTCGGGGTTGGTAGCTGGTATTTTGTGTCCCATTTCTTTATATTAGATGTATGTATGTGTATATATATATATATATATATATATATATATATATGGAGTGGCAATGATTCAGTTGATCAGCTGTGAGATTTGATTTAATGTCTGTATTTATTTCATATATAGTAGTAGTTTTTTTTTATTGTAGACTTTTTGTTGTTTTTGTTTTATTATTCTTTAAATTATAATAATAGATTATTATTGTTATTATTTTCTTTAATATAAAAGTGAACTTATTTTTATTATTTTAATTATAATTTGATAATAAAATAAATAATATTACATAGAATAGTAATGCTCAATACATTTTCATTCATTACACAAAATGCAATAATAATAATAATAATACACTTATTTTATTTATTCATATAAGAAATGCAGCTCATAGTTCCACAGTTCCATGACTAGATTAAAGATGAAACCCACAATAGATGCAAATATTAAACCCATAATAATAAAAGAAGATAAAATTAGTCTGCATAAAATGCATAACAAAAGATGGGAATTAAAAAATAAGCAATAATAAAAGAAAGCATAATACATTGCTTTAGAAAAGTCATTTCTAGTTAAAAGCAAAAGTAAAAAGATGTGTTTTTACCTTTTGTTTTATACATAAAAACAAAAAATCCAGTCAAAAAAAAAAAAACCTTGAGAAAATAGTCTCTATTACGTTAGTCTACACTGTAAGCACACGGCTTGTTGTGACTGCTCACAGGAATAAATGCCTTTTTTTTTTTTTTATGTATTCAAATAGAAAACAGTTATTTTAAAATATGTTATTTCACAATATTACTCTTTTTACTGAATTCTTTGATCAAATAAATGCAGCCTTGGTGAGCATAAGAGACTTTAAAAAATCTTTCTGGCCCCAAACTTTTAACAGTAGTGTATATAGTTATTCAGTGCTAGTGACTTTACTGTATTGTAATGTGTTATCAATATGCCCCAATCCTGTGTTGAATGTTTTGTGAAATGCATAACTAACACCTTGTGCTGTTCCCTGTATTTTTACATCTTATTAAAATGTAAAATCCAGCTGTCCTGTTCCTGTGAAGCATTTTGCCAGTGACGTCTCATTTTTCGCCCCATTCTTCTCAGGGTGGAGTGATGGTCCTGATAGTCCTTAAATATTGTTTCTGTCTTTGCCAGGACTCTTCTTGTGGTGCTGAGGACTCACTGCAGGACTCGGCTTCAGAACACAGCAAAGATCCGGCCGACAGAGAAGGGTAACATTCATTGCTTTAAAGAAATACTTTGGGATGTGGCATTTTTTTTCTCCCACCAGCAAATGGATTTTCTTTCATGTTTTGTATTTTTGATAACCTACCCTCTCATTCACAGCTGGAAGCAGAAGTGTGTGGATTCAGAGTTGACCTCAGAAGAGGTGGATGAGCTCTACCTGATGGACCACGACGAGATCATGTCTCACTTAACACTAAAGCAAGAGGTAAAACAGAAATGGCAATCTTTAATTTTAGAAGTTTGTCTTGATTTGCATTGGTTGCAATGATAGTCAGAGTGCTAGTGTGCTCTCTGCTGCCCTCTGCCTGTGAATTCAAGCCACTGCAGTGCCGCTGTGGTGACCGTCAGTATTGAAGTACTTGTGAAATACTGCTGTTCACACTGCAAGGCAGTAGCGGTTTTTGGCACGGGCGAAGAGAGCTTGTGCAGGAAATTAAGAACTTCCCTGACCTGCCATCAAAGACCATGAGCCTCCTTGAGCTTATCACTTTTATGCATGATAAGGATCTATCGGAGATCTACCCCAACTTTTGGACTGCTCTCAGGATTGCACTTACTCTGCCAGTCACTGTGGCTCAAGCAGAGAGGAGCTTTTCAAAACTAAAGTTGATCAAGTCGTACCTGAGGTCAACCATGTCCCAGGACCGGCTCACTGGCCTTGCCTTGCCGTCATCAGTATCAATCACTCAATAGGGGAGCAGATTTCATACGATGACATCATTGATGATTTTGCATCAAGGAAGGCCAGAAAGGTCAGGTTTTAGTTTGTGTTTTCTGTTCTTAGTGCAATAGTGTAATAATTAGATTCTCTTTAGTGTGTTTTCACATTTGTGTGATGAAGGAGTTGTGCTATTTAGAATATTCTATATTTTATTTGTATATTATTCTTAATATTTTATATTATTGTTGCTCTCTGCTCTTGTTACATTTTTTTATATATCTGATTGTATATATTTTTGGCACATTTATGTATATAGTGTATATTTATTTAAGTTCTGATAACTTATACTGTCATATTTTGTGCAGAATTGTGTTCATTGTCTTTTGGCAATGTTGGAGGTGGAGATTGTGCACCTTAAAAAGTGTGTTTCCTGTTGTAATTGCAATAGTTAAATAACTGGATTCTCTTAAGTGTTTTTCAAATGTTCTAATGAAGGATTTGTGCAATTGGGAAATATAATTTTCTCTTTCACTTATGTTGTTATATTAAAATATAACTCTTTGTGCAGAATTTTGTGGGGGGGCGCTCGAAGGGGGTCTCGCCCAGGGTATAATTCAATGTAGAACCGCCACTGCTGCAAGGTCAGACCTACTGCAGAGAGCATCTCCCCTGAATGAATACATAAGTGAGTTAATAAGTGGAGCACTTGTACTCTACAATAAGACAGGAAATATGACTCTAGTGAGCAGGCATGCTGCTTCCTGTTCCATTCTGCTTTTGAAAACAAGTCTTGAACATCCTGACATCTCTACATGTGTTGGGGTTCAGTTGACCCTAAATATACAGGGCTTCCTTAAGACCAACTGGTTGTTCAACCAGTAGATTTTGAAAATATTATTTTGCACATCCTTCTAAGAAGTTATATTTAGGAGCTGATTACATGAAAAGCTCTAACTTGTCGAAAACCGCATAATCCTAATCTGTGTTTCTCAGAACGATGACGGCCCTGACGTCAGAGCTGGATCAGGCGATATTTTATTGGTCCACGCCACCGAAACAGATCGCAAAGGTAAGAATAATCCCTTCTAATCTGAAGGAGTCCATTAATTTGTTAAATATTTATTTATTTAATAACACGTGCATCAAACAAACTCTGGGATTCAAAAGGTAGCTTTTCAACTACCGTTCAAAAGATTGAGGTCAGTAAAAAAAAATGTTTAAAGAAATTATTACTTTATTAAAATGATCAAATGTGACAGTAAAGACTTCTACATTGTTAAAAAAAATGCTGCTTCATACAAATGCTGTTATTTTGAAAAAAATTCTATTTATCAAAGAAATGTATCATGGTTTCCACAAAAATATTAAGCGACACAATTTAATGTTTTCAACACTGATGATGATAATAAGAAATGTTTCTTGAGCAGCAAATCAGCATATTAGAATGATTTCTGAAGGATCATGTGACACTGAAGACTGGAGTAATGATGCTGAAAATTCAGCTTTGCATCACAGGAATAAATTACATTTTTAAATATTTTAAAATAGAACACAGTTATTTTAAAATGTAAATAATATTTTACAATATTACTGCCTTAAATTTATTGTTCACCCCAAAGTTTTGAACGGTGGTGTAATTGATTCAACCAGTAGATTTTGAAAATATTATTTTGCACATCCTTCTAAGAAGTTATATTTAGGAGCTGATTACATGAAAAGCTCTAACTTGTCGAAAACCGCATAATCCTAATCTGTGTTTCTCAGAACGATGACGGCCCTGACGTCAGAGCTGGATCAGGCGATATTTTATTGGTCCACGCCACCGAAACAGATCGCAAAGGTAAGAATAATCCCTTCTAATCTGAAGGAGTCCATTAATTTGTTAAATATTTATTTATTTAATAACACGTGCATCAAACAAACTCTGGGATTCAAAAGGTAGCTTTTCAACTACCGTTCAAAAGATTGAGGTCAGTAAAAAAAAATGTTTAAAGAAATTATTACTTTATTAAAATGATCAAATGTGACAGTAAAGACTTCTACATTGTTAAAAAAAAATGCTGCTTCATACAAATGCTGTTATTTTGAAAAAAATTCTATTTATCAAAGAAATGTATCATGGTTTCCACAAAAATATTAAGCAACACAATTTAATGTTTTCAACACTGATGATGATAATAAGAAATGTTTCTTGAGCAGCAAATCAGCATATTAGAATGATTTCTGAAGGATCATGTGACACTGAAGACTGGAGTAATGATACTGAAAATTCAGCTTTGCATCACAGGAATAAATTACATTTTAAAATATTTTAAAATAGAACAGTTATTTTAAAATGTAAATAATATTTTATAATATTACTGCCTTAAATTTACTGTTCACCCCAAAGTTTTGAACGGTGGTGTAATTGATTTATTAATCTATTTCTTGTTCTTAAATCTTAACCTATAATTATGATTAAATTAATGTATCTTATGTTCTCTTTTGTAGATCGAGTTTTATACTGTGAAGCTTTTTTGACCACATACCGAACGTTTCTAACCCCAGAGGACCTCATTAAAAAGCTCCGCTATAGATATCCTTTCTGATGGTGCAGGAGGGAACTTTACATATCTTTTCATTACTAACCTTTGTACACTCCAAGCTTCTTTTTCGCCCTTAACTCTGAACACATATACCAGATTTTCTCTCAGCTCTGACATTATCAAACAACGAGCTAGTAAAAACACCTTCTTCGTGCTGGTGCGCGTCGTGGATGAGCTTTGGTGAGCTGGAACTCAATCAAATATCAAATGCACACTTTACAAAGGGATATACATATACACACACACACACACAACACCGCATAATCCTAATCTGTGTTTCTCAGAACGATGACGGCCCTGACGTCAGAGCTGGATCAGGCGATATTTTATTGGTCCACGCCACCGAAACAGATCGCAAAGGTAAGAATAATCCCTTCTAATCTGAAGGAGTCCATTAATTTGTTAAATATTTATTTATTTAATAACACGTGCATCAAACAAACTCTGGGATTCAAAAGGTAGCTTTTCAACTACCGTTCAAAAGATTGAGGTCAGTAAAAAAAAATGTTTAAAGAAATTATTACTTTATTAAAATGATCAAATGTGACAGTAAAGACTTCTACATTGTTAAAAAAAAATGCTGCTTCATACAAATGCTGTTATTTTGAAAAAAATTCTATTTATCAAAGAAATGTATCATGGTTTCCACAAAAATATTAAGCAACACAATTTAATGTTTTCAACACTGATGATGATAATAAGAAATGTTTCTTGAGCAGCAAATCAGCATATTAGAATGATTTCTGAAGGATCATGTGACACTGAAGACTGGAGTAATGATGCTGAAAATTCAGCTTTGCATCACAGGAATAAATTACATTTTTAAATATTTTAAAATAGAACACAGTTATTTTAAAATGTAAATAATATTTTACAATATTACTGCCTTAAATTTATTGTTCACCCCAAAGTTTTGAACGGTGGTGTAATTGATTTATTAATCTATTTCTTGTTCTTAAATCTTAACCTATAATTATGATTAAATTAATGTATCTTATGTTCTCTTTTGTAGATCGAGTTTTATACTGTGAAGCTTTTTTGACCACATACCGAACGTTTCTAACCCCAGAGGACCTCATTAAAAAGCTCCGCTATAGATATCCTTTCTGATGGTGCAGGAGGGAACTTTACATATCTTTTCATTACTAACCTTTGTACACTCCAAGCTTCTTTTTCGCCTTTAACTCTGAACACATATACCAGATTTTCTCTCAGCTCTGACATTATCAAACAACGAGCTAGTAAAAACACCTTCTTCGTGCTGGTGCGTGTCGTGGATGAGCTTTGGTGAGCTGAAACTCAATCAAATATCAAATGCACACTTTACAAAGGGATATACATATACACACACAACACACACACATATATATATATATATATCAATCCAGTGAAATGACATTAAATTACTTGGATCTTTTATGTGCAAGTTGTTAAAGGGGTTTTCCTTGATGATATGCTGTGTTATGCCACATACATACAAGGTTGGAATACCCTAATATTAGATGACTACAGTTGAAGCAGCTTGAGTTCTGACACAGTTATTCCACATTATTTACTCATAGGCCCATGTGATGTCACAAAAAAAAACGACATAAATGTAAACCCTTATTTGTGTGTCAACAGTTTGGTGGAGCTGACAGAAGACATCCTGAAGCAGCTCATGGAGCTTGTGTTCAATCTGTTGTGTAATGGTGAGCTCACCCTGGCCCGGGTTCTGCGCAAGAACATCCTGGATAAAGTCCAGCAGAAGAAGTTGCTGCAGTACACTAATTCCCTCAAAACGCTGGCTGCACGAGGTGTGGCCGCCAGGTAATGCTCACCTAGATCATCTTTCTTTTAAAAATTGTTAGTTTAGAGTGAATTGAACTGATTTTGAGTGTTTGTTAACAGGCCTGGCACTCTGCATGACTTCCGTAGTCATGAGATCGCAGACCAGCTGACTCTCCTCGATGCAGAGCTGTTTTATAAGATAGAGGTACGGCTTCTCTAATGTCATTCATCAAGCTTCCTACCTTTAAAGTTTCAGGGTTTTCCAACACCTTTTTCCTGTCTGTCTGCAGATCCCAGAGGTGTTACTTTGGGCAAAGGAACAGAATGAGGAAAAGAGCCCCAATCTGACCCAGTTCACAGAGCACTTCAACAACATGTCATACTGGTATGATGCTCTGATTCTCAAGCTGCTGTAAAACTTTTAGCGTTTAAGAAAAGAAACGTCAGGTGCCACTGCACAGCCAGAAAAACTAGTCTTACGGAACCAGACTTTTGGCTTGCAGCATAAAGTCTGGTCCATATTACAGCTATCCATATTATTATTCTGCAAAACCTTCATACTTAAGGCTTGTGCACACCGGGACGATTATCGTGCGCGATTATCGCCGACGTTTAACGCCTCGTGACTAAACAAAGGGCGCCAATGTGAGTGTGCACAAAGCCCCAGGCGTAAAAGTGTCATTTAAAAAAAAAAAACGCCTCAGGCTCGTTTTTTTGGACGCGCCGTGTTAAAAACTGGCCGACCAATGAGATTGGCACTTTTGAAACACATTGAACAGTGAAACACGACTTGGTGGCGCTCAAGCACAAAACAGTCTTGCCGAGCACACATTGATACCTAATGACGAAGAGGAAGTAAGTAGACGAAGAAGATGCATCGAGGCAAGCTGCTGGTCTCATTGGTGTCTGAACACAAAAAGCTTTATGACAAACACGACAGCGACTACAAAAATCTCGATAAGAGGGAGTTGTTATGGAGAGGAATTTCAGATCAAATAGGATTCGATATGTACCGGGGTATTTCTGTTTTTCATGAAGCGCCATCTAATGTCAGAGAGGGAATTTGCACGTTCTCTCGGCTCATCGCCAGCGAAAATCGCTTGGGTATGAAAACAAAGACGCAGCGATAAGCGCGCGCGATAATCGTCCCGGTGTGCACGAGGCTTTAGACACTGACAATTTTATATATTTGGGTTTCTAAAAATTAATTGGTCACTACAGGACTATTTAAAAACAAGTGAAGGCAATTAAAAGTGGTGAAAATGAAATGGTGACAACTTACCTAAATGATACACAATTTCTTTAAGCATTCATATAAATTTGAGCCCAAAATTTTGGGTTTATGGACATGTTAATAAGTATACAGTACATTATATATTTTTTATTCTCTGTTTTAAGGGTTCGGTCCTTAATAATCCAGCAAGAGAAAGCCCAGGATCGGGAAAAACTACTTCTAAAGTTTATCAAAATTATGAAGGTACAAACTATTGTACCTTGATTCTAATGGTTTATTTGCTTAATTTATTTAAAATAAAAAAACTTGAACCTGTGTCTCTGTAATTTAGCACTTAAGAAAACTCAATAACTTCAACTCCTACTTGGCAATATTATCAGCGTTGGATTCAGCGCCTATCAGAAGACTGGAATGGCAGAAGCAAACGTCAGAGGTAAATCACATACCCTGTCTCTATATTATTTTAGTGCTCAGTCGATCGTCACGTAACTGATGTTATCTTCACAGGGTTTGGAGGAATATTGCACTTTAATTGACAGTTCCTCCTCCTTCCGGGCGTACAGAGGAGCTTTGGCGGATGTGGAGCCTCCATGTATACCGTATCTGTAAGAACAGATGTTAAGCATTAAAAAGCACATTTTGTATTGTGTGTCAAATGTCATATTTCGTCTATAACTGCTCTTTCCCCTATTTTGCCACAAAATACAGAGGCCTCATTCTCCAGGACTTAACTTTTGTGCATCTTGGGAATCCTGACCTCATCGATAGAAAGATAAACTTTTCCAAACGCTGGCAGCAGTTCAATATCCTGGACACTATGAGGCGCTTCCAGCAAGTGTGAGTACTTCGACACTTCCATAATCAAGTGAAAACAAATTACTTGGGACTTAGAATTGTATTGGATTGTGAAAACTTGCCTAGAGAACTATTGCCTAGAGATGTCTTTTTAATAGATGTCTCTTCACATTTGATATTTTTTCAGCTTCAAATGAAGCGTTTTGCATGACTTCTACTTTTCTTTCTTTCAGGCACTATGACCTCAAACACAACGACGACATTGTCTCTTTCTTCAACGACTTCAGTGACCATCTAGCTGAGGAGGCATTGTGGGAGCTCTCTTTGAAGATCAAACCTCGCAACATCACTCGCCGGAAAACAGAACGAGAGGAAAGGACGTAGCTCGCTCGGCTAGAACAACAAACTGCTTTTAAAAGCCACTCTCCTCTGACGTTGCAAGACACAGCGATCACAAATTACTGTAATGGCAGCTACGAGACTGGAAACGATACTGTATTTCTGTTACAGTTTACTGAATCTTTTTTTAGCAAAAAAAAAGGGTGATTAGATTTTATTTTGTAATTGCACTGCATCTGAACCTGTGTGTAAATTTGAAGTGGAACAGTGGCAAGCGCAAAGACAGAAAGCATGACTCTGATATGTGAGATTACGTGGTTTGAGATCGTAACCTGGGATTTACGGTGATGTTCCGGGACCGTCTCGCCATCTGGATGTTTGCGGTGCAATCTGGAAAAACAACTGCGACTCCAGCTGCAAACTGATACCATGATGCCTCAGTGGGCAATTTGGATATTGAAGTTCCTTGAAGACTGATATTTTTATTTATTTATTTTGTATGTAACAAATGCACATAAAGACTCTTTGGGTTTAGGGGGATTGCTGTAAGCTTAGCTGCTGGATTGAACAGCTTGAAGCGTGTATGATAATAGGTCATTATGAGGACACACAGTCACTGTTATTAATAGCACTATCAGGATTTTGTTGCTTATTCTGCAAGATTAACACAGTATTCGGCTTAATTCAAAAGGCGCTTTTCTGGATTTGAGTTTCAAATTTTGTTACTAAAATTCTTCAAACGAGTGGCAATTTTAATGTGCAAAAAAACATCTTAATTTTTTTTGTTAGTTCAATGGAATAAAAAAAAAGGTAATTGCAAGTTGCAACTTATCTCACAATTCTGACTTTTTCTCTCACAACTTCAATTTATATCTTGCAATTATGAATAAAAATGTCAGAATTGTGAGATAGTATCTCACAATTACAAGGAAAAAAAACAATAATTGTGAGATAAAGTCGCAATTACCTTTTTTTTTTAATTAATCAGAGAAAAATGCTTCCATATATTGCAGTGATTATGAAAAACAATTCCAGGCCTTGAAATCACAATATAAATTCAGCAAAAATGTAGCATAAAATCAAAATTGAATTCAAAAGTTATTTAACTTTTTACTGCACATTCTTGTGAATGCTTCACCTGTGCGTTATTCCAATGAAGAAAGGTTTGTCTTTGTCCAATTACAGTGACACTCACTTTCACCATTCAATCAATTCCCAACTATTTTTTTCTAACTGAATATCCTGTTTCACCCTGAAATACGCCATATTTTGAAGTAAAATGCATTGTGAACAGCATTTCATAACATATTTATTTTTTATTAAATATATAATTTAAAAATTTTTCTTTCTATTTGTATATATTGAACAGTTTATGGATGAAATGGGAATTATTTGCAGGTTTCGCATGTCTTTGATCTTGTAATTGTGACAAATGCTGAATTGACCATTCAAAAGTCATCTGTTTTATAGGCGAGCGGTGACCGTTTTAAACGGGTATGCTGTGATAAACAATAATTGGGAGATAAAGTCGCAATTACCTTTTTTTTTTTTTTTATTCGGTGGTGGAAACAGGCTTTCATAATTATCTACATTTTCATATTTCTGTTTATATTGAATTCAGACTTATTTCCGAAATAAGCCTATTTAAAATCAGTTGTCTTCCAATTACATTTATTTGCTAATAATCAGGGAAACTCATTGTTTTGTTAATCGTGCATGTTATTTATTTGTGTATTTATGTGCGTAGATTAACAATATGCGTTTCTAAGATCATCTGCATCATTTGCAAAGGATGGTTTGTCTTCACCGGTGTGGTTTTTGCAAGAAAGATTTTAGGAGTTGTGTTGCAACTCTTTGTCTGGTACATTTCAATACTTTGCACAGCAGCAAGGCACAAAATAACCACATTTCTGTAGATCTCCCAGAGCCATCGCAGTGATCAAAGACCTACTATCAGGAGCTTGAAGCTGTTCATAAAGTGGTGTCAGTGTGATTAATTTTATATAATGCAGTTTTCCTTTTGTTTTTTAAAGGGATTTTACATGAACATTTGCAGAGAGATTTACTCTGTTGTTGTGAGATGTGATCAAATGTGCACTTTGTAGTTGATTGTGGGAAACCGATTCAAAACTGTTAGGTAACAGTTTGAAGTGGACATGCATATGAGCCTGAACCCCTGCAACGACGCTTACAACGGGAACCTTTTCTTACCTGCAAATTGGACTGAAGTCGGTTTCAAAATTCCAAAGACCCCAGACCATATATCACCCGTTTGAACATGATGATGATTCAGTTGCATATAACATACAACTGAACTGACATGTACCTCTGTACACATAACCCAGTGAAGCCTGGTAAAATAATATACATATCATCAATGTGATTGTTTTGTGTGTGTATGTGTATGGGATCCATTTGTTCTGGTTTGGGGACAACAAAGAATTCAATAAAAGCTGTGACAGTCATTAAAATCTGTGTGTGAATAATTAAATGTATATCTAAGGGTATATAAAAGGATGTATTTAAGTAATTTGAAGAACAAAATTGTTTAGATTTACGGAAGTCCTAAGAGGCCAAGGATTATAATTTTTTTTTCTTGTTTTGTCGTGATAACGACTTAATTTTCTCATGATCACGACATAGCAAAAGTTGTTTTCTCGTGATCACGACTTAATATTTTCTTGTGATCTCGACATAACGAAAGTTGTTTTCTCGTGATCACGACTTAATTATCTCGTTATATCGACATAATGAAAGTTGTTTTCTCGTGATCACGACTTAATTATCTCGTTATATAGACATAATGAAAGTTGTTTTCTCGTTATCACGAATTAATATTTTCTTGTGATCTCGACATAACAAAAGTTGTTTTCTCGTGATCACGACTTAATTATCTCGTTATATCGACATAACGAAAGTTGTTTTCTCCTTATCACGACTTAATATTTTCTCGTGATCTCGAAAGTTGTTTTCTCGTTATCACGACTTAATATTTTCTTGTGATCTCGGCATAATGAAAGTTGTTTTCTCGTGATCACGACTTAATTATCTCGTGATCTGGACATAACAAAAGTTGTTCTCTTAAGTCAGTGTTTCCCAACCGGGGTGCCAGGGTGCCGTGTAAAAAATCCTTTTTTAATATTTTTAAATTGCTAAAATGTTCAAAAAAGCATCTATTATATAATATCCATTTCTGATGTCGCCAATAATTAGAGATGCACCGAAATTTCGGCTGCCGAAAATGAGTTCACCGCTCAGGTTTCACTTTCATGTGGTGTGACGCTCTGCGTGTTATCCCGCTCTATGCGTGTGTGTCGCTCAGTCGCTCCACTCGTATACCATTCATGCGAATCGGAACAGCAAAGTCCACTCAAAAACTGAGCCGACAGGAAACATCGATGTAGTACAGTATTGTTTATGTCTGCAATAGCCCTACTGTGTCAAACAGCATCCCAAGCTTGTAACGCACATGATATCAGTCACAGCATATCCTCTATGACTACTAAAAATGACAAATTCTATATAATTTTATTTCAAATAAAAGGAAAATAAAGTGAGTTGAATCTAAGCAGCTCTAAAAGATTTTAGAATAGTTCTCTGCATCCTTCTGAAGGCGCTCCTCCTGTGTTTGCGGTGTTGCTTTATGAATTCATTAAATGTAAGTAATGATCAATACTGCACAAATTATAGCGGTCATGAAGAAGGTCCTTATTCTGTCCTAAACGTGTACAGTAAAGTGGATATACAGTATAGGCTACAACACCCCATCAGTTATATTCAGGTCTACAGTGCCAGATGTTGGCGCAGTTTTGTAACTTAGAGAACAACTTTCGTTATGTCGATATAACGAGATAATTAAGTCGTTATCACGACAAAACAAGAAAGAAAAATGTATAATCCATGGCCTCATAGGACTTCCGTTAACTAACATTTCTCAATCAAACATTTCACAGATACCCAATAACTTAATAAAGTATCCAATCTTACCTCCTAAGCCAATAATACAAAATAAATAACCAAGTTATTAGGTGTTTTTCACAAGTTGAAATAAATATTGATAGTTCATATGAGTGCATTTAATTATATTGTTCTTAAAATAATTGTAATTACAATCAACATTTTCTCAAAATTTTCTTGTAAAATATTATAGAGTTGCAAAGAGTTAGAAAACATTTTGAGGTAGGAGAGTAGGAGTCCAAGGCAAGTTTTCTCTCCATTTCAATACGCATATATATATATATATATATACTAATCTTTTCTACACTCTGTTGACAACAGTGTACACTCTGTTGTCAATAAAATAAATTAATCACTATTAATATCATTACTTCCTTTCAGTATTTCTAAAGAAAGCAGTCACAGATACCCAATAACTTAATAAAGTATCCAATCTTACCTCCTAAGCCAATAATACAAAATAAATAACCAAGTTATTAGGTGTTTTTCACAAGTTGAAATAAATATTGATAGTTCATATGAGTGCATTTAATTATATTGTTCTTAAAATAATTGTAATTACAATCAACATTTTCTCAAAATTTTCTTGTAAAATATTATAGAGTTGCAAAGAGTTAGAAAACATTTTGAGGTAGGAGAGTAGGAGTCCAAGGCAAGTTTTCTCTCCATTTCAATACGCATATATATATATATATATATATATACTAATCTTTTCTACACTCTGTTGACAACAGTGTACACTCTGTTGTCAATAAAAGAAATTAATCACTATTAATATCATTACTTCCTTTCAGTATTTCTAAAGAAAGCAGACTTAAACAGCAATAATAATGTCTAATAATTGATATACGATAATGAAGAGGACGTTCATAAGAAATAATGATTTAAGAACCAATAATTTTCTCAAAAACAGCAGGGTGAAATCGTTATAAACATCATGTGCCAAGTGCGAACTGCGAAGACTTTTCGTTTGGCGATTAATTTTTCCCATCCGGCTTTTATTTTGAAATCGCATCATTTCCTGCCGTTGAAAAAACTCTTCTCTGTAGCGCTTCTGCATCTTTGTGCCAAGTGCGAACTGCGAAGACTTTTCGTTTGGCGATTAATTGTTCCCATCCGACTTTTATTTTGAAATCGCATCATTTCCTGCCGTTGAAAAAACTCTTCTCTGTAGCGCTTCTGCATCTTCCGCTGTGTCGCGGCCCGTCTGTTAACTAGAATTGTGCTTTGAAATTGAAAGCTAATCGATTGAAGATGAATGTGATCGATCATGTGCGGGATATGGCAGCGGCCGGACTGCACTCTAATGTCCGGATCATCAGTAGTTTACTCCTGACCATGAGCACCAACAACCCGTGAGTCTCTCCAGGGCTTCACAATGTAAACACATCTGAGCTGTCGCATGTGAAGTAAACTGCGTCTGTCCAGTGATATTACAATTCAACGGTTTATTTATTAGTTACACAGCAAGTCATGCAGAAACACAGAAATGTGTTATTCTGTAAGCTCGTAAGAAGTCAATATAATAAATGTATTAATGTATTTAAGACCGCAGAGCAACAGTTCACCATGGTAGCCATAGTTTTCCCAAAATACTGTGGTTGCTACAGTCATTTCAATAGCTACCGTAGTTTTCAGGCATGTAGGATCATAAATTATTATTTAATCTCCTTCAAATGGTGTAAGACACCTGATTTTGATTCCAAGATACAACAATTTGACTGATTAATTATTGTAGTGGCTTTGCTATTTTGGGGGGAAAAAACATGATCAGTTCTTGCTTATGTTGTTTAATTTAACTTCAACACTCAGTTCCACGTGAATAAAATCAAGCAGTTGTCAAGTTCTCATGAAATACACTGAAATGCATCATGGCAGTTTGCCTCAGTTTCAAGAGATGAACCCAAAGCCATATAAGTGTGTGTTTCTCTTTTTCAGTGAGCTTTTCTCACCGTCTCAGAAGTACCAGCTGCTGGTGTATCATGCTGATGCTATTTTCCATGATAAAGAGTACAGGAACGCAGCCTGTAAGTACAACATGGCTTTACAGCAGAAGAAAGTGCTCAGCAAAACATCTAAAGTCCGTCCATCCAGCACAGGCGGCACAACATCTGCAGTTCAGGCACAGGTGAGCTCCACCAAACCCTCCTGATGAGCCTCACACACACATCCACTCAATACCATCGTTTGTTACATTACCTGGGCTTAATCACTACAGTTTGTATCATTAGGTAAGTTCATGCTAAATGAATAAATGTAAATAGTACAGTTCATTTTTTTATTAAAAAAAATTGTGATGACTTGGTATTAGCCACTGTCATTAAAAATATATTGCACTACCATACAGACATTTGGTCAGTAAGATTTTTAAATGTTTTTGAAAGAAATCTCTAATGCTCATCATTGCTGTAATATTGTGAAATATTATTACAATTTAAAATAACATTGCTATTATAAAACGGATAGTTCCGGTCCTTGATTCTAATTGGTTGAGCCAAGTTCGAAGCTGTTGTAAATTACTCTACAAACATACACCTTTTGTTTACATTTGTGTGTTGCCCGGCAACCGCTTTGTTGGAACCACAACTGTTTCTGAGGAACTACATTGTTTGGCGGAAGACTGATGTTTTTATTAATATCATTACACTTTATTTACTCTGTTTTATTTTGTGAAACCGTACTACGTATATGGAATAACCGTTTTAAAAAACAGTAAGCCCCGTGAAGCCGTGGTTTACAGTGAATTAATAACAGCTAAGGGGGTTGTAGGCACTCCGCTTCGTTTACATAAATTGACTGTAAACCATGGCTTCTTGGGGCTTATTGCTTTATTTTAAGATACTTTAAAATTTAAAATGTAATTTTATGAATTCAGCATCATTACTCTAGTCTTCAGTTTCACATGATCCTTCAGAAATCATTCTAATATGCTGATTTAGTGCTGAAGAAACATTTCTTATTATCAATGTTGAAAACATTTGTGCTGCTTAATATTGTTTTGTGGAAATCATGTAAATTTTGTTTCATGATTCTTTAAGAGAAAATGCTAAAGAACACCATTTATTTGAAACATAAATAAACTTTGGTAACATAAAATTTCACTTTTGATCAATTAAAGGTTTTCTTGAATAAAAGTATTAATTTCTTTCAATTAAAAAAGTCTTACTGACCTCAAACCTATGAACGGTAGTGTATATATTATATTATATTATGCCCACCATAACAATATCGTGCATATTCATTACCGTGATATATCGCATTACCGAATACCGGCACAAGTCTAATTATATTATATTATATTATTGCTATTGAATTGTTATTATTTTTTGGCAGAAAATATTATTTAGTCAGAAAAAAAAAGATTGTGTGAAATAGTAATAGTGATGCTTGTCTATTCAAACACGACTAATTATTATGATTTCATAGAATTGATAAGATTTGTTGTTGCTGTGGCGTTTTGGTGTTCATTTGAATGGAGTTAACCAACTCTGTGTTCATCAACTACAGAACTTGCCGTCAGAGATTGAAGTGAAATATAAAATCGCAGAGTGTTATACTATTCTGAAGCTGGATAAAGATGCCATATCCGTGCTGGAGGGAATCCCTTCACGCCAGAGAACGCCAAAGGTGTGTTTTCACACGCGGTCTAGTGCTTTTTTTGTTTTACAAATCTGTGTGTGTGTGAATCTAACAAGCTAATATACACATAATTATTAAGTCTCAAAAGTGGCATAAAAGAGCACTTTGTTTGATTGTTTTCCAGATCAACATGATGCTGGCGAATCTTTACAGGAAGGCTGGTCAGGAGCGTTCAGCCGTCACAAGCTATAAGGAGGTGTTGAGACAGTGTCCTCTGGCTCTTGATGCTATTATTGGTCAGTAAGAATACAGCCGTGTTCCTGTGGTGGTGCATCTTGTCCTTTCTTTGTCTTGAAAGTTCACTCTGAACCCAACATTAAAGCCTCGTCCTGTCTGCTCCGCTGCAGGGCTTCTGTCTCTGTCGGTGAAGGGGGCAGAGGTCGCTTCCATGACGATGGACGTGATTCAGAGCATCCCGAATCTTGATTGGCTGTCTGTCTGGATTAAAGCACATGCTTTCACACACGGAGGGGACAATCAGAGAGCCATCAACACTATCTGGTGAGGATAGGACACTGTCAGTTCAATTGGGCTTTTCATGATCAAATTCAGGATTTCAGTAAAGCAACTTTCATTTCTTAGCTGTTGTGTGGCCATGGAAACATTTTGGAATAATTAAAAAACTTTTTTTTTTCTGTAGCAATCTTTACATTTATACATGATTTATAAATGTTTTTTTTTTTATAAATAAAATTGTGTGATTTGGTATTAGCCACCACTGTCATCAAAAAGTATGATCTTGTATTAGATTAGATTAGATTCTGTTGTTGTATTATTTATATACTATTATAGTATTTATGAATATATTTTGAATGAGCTTTTTTTATATTTTCAGTAATTTTGTCATTTATTCGTTTTTTTATATTTATATTTAGTTTTTATTATTTCTGTTTTAGTCATTTTAGTACTTGAAGTTCAACATTTTTAATTGTCATTTCTTTTGTTTTAGTTTTCGTCTTATTTTTATAAAAAAGTTTATTTCAGCATTATTTCAATTAAAAAATTATTTAAAATAGTCTTAGTTAACAATAACAATGATTATATTGTATTTAAAGTATATGAATTATATTAGATTCACAGTCATTGTATTATTTATTTACTCTTATAGTATTTAATATTTTGAATTAGCTTTTGTATTTTTAGTTTTCTTTTTAATTTTAAGTTTTAGCAATTTTGTTATGCAATATTTTTAATATATTTTAATACTTATTTCAGTCAGTAGTCGAGGCAACATTTTTTTTTTATTCAAACAATTTCATTCAAGTTTAAGTTTTCATGCAATATTTATTTTATTTCAGATTTCAATTAATAATTTTTGTTATTAATAACAATGATTATTTTGTTTTGTAGATTTCCCATGCAAAAATATTTAGAAAGTAATTGCTCGCCTGTCACGTGCGTAGCTCTTATGTGTGAGTTTTTGTTGACTAGTCCATCTCTCCTCAGCTCTTTGGAGAAGAAGTCACTCTTGAGGGATAACGTTGATCTTTTAGTCACTCTGGCAGATGTGTACTTCAGGGCTGGAGACACCAAAAACTCCATCCTGAAGTTTGAGCAGGCACAGATGCTCGACCCTTACCTGATCAAAGGTGCATGGCATCAACCAGTCCTTTACCAATCTAGATACACTGCATGACGATTCTTGTTTGTTTGAATGAAATGATCATGCTGGTTTGCAGGTATGGATGTATACGGCTATCTTATGGCTAGGGAGGGTCATCTGGAAGATGTGGAGGTTCTCGGAGGACGATTGTTCAACATATCTGACCAGCATGCTGAGCCCTGGGTCATATCTGGGTGAGTTTGACCTTCTCCTAATGTGTCTGAAACGCGGTTGAACGCTCTTATTGTTTTGTTTTCCCCAGATGTCACAGTTTCTACAGTAAGCGGTACTCTCGCGCGCTGTATCTGGGAGCTAAAGCCATCCAGCTGAACAGCAACAGTGTGCAGGCGCTGCTCCTGAAGGGGGTGGCGCTGAGGAACATGGGCCGAGTGCAGGAAGCCATCATACACTTCAGAGAAGCCATGAGACTGGCGCCCTGTCGTCTGGACTGCTATGAAGGCAAGAAAGAATTTCACGATAATAGGGATATAATGTTGTTATGCATATTTTGTAGGGTAGATCTTGATAGTTTTGTGCAATAAAAGTTTATAGATATTTAGTCTATTGATTTGCTGAATATCTGTTAGTTACTGTCCTGTTTTATAAAGGTTAGACAAAGCCCACAGTCTTTTTCAGTCATCTCATAGTGATACGTCCCTTGTTTTCAGGTCTGATTGACTGCTATCTTGCCTCTAATGGTGTCCGGGAGGCTATGGGAATGGCCAACAATATTTACAAGACCCTGGGAGCGAACGCCCAAACTCTCACCATCCTGGCCACAGTGTGTCTGGAAGATCCCATGACCCAGGAGAAGGCCAAGACTCTGCTGGACAAAGCCCTCGCTCAGCGGCCAGACTATATCAAAGCTGTCGTGAAGAAAGCAGAGCTCCTCAGTATGTCAAAAAGTCACACGTCTTTCTATGTTAATCGTAAACTGTGCAATTATTTCATTATGATTTATTTTGTTTATTATATTTTTTCTATGTATTATTATTATTGTTTTGTTGTTGTTAATTGATTATGATTTATTGATTTAATTATAATCATTTTATTTCATAATAATATATTTTTATTTGATTTATTTATTTTAATAGTGATTTATTTATTCCATTTGTCATTTTATTTATTTTATTGTTATTCTAGTTTTCTTTATTAACTAGCTATCATATTAATTACATTATTTTGTTTTTAATTTTATTATAATTTTTATTATATACTTTTTCTATTATTATTATTTTTTACTTATTTATTCTTCTATTATCAAATTATCATTATTATCTACTTTATGTTGTTATTATAACTTTTTATTTATTGATTACATTATTATTATAAATTATTATTTAAATTTTTATTTTTTTGTATTATTTATATTACTTCCTATTTATTAATTATATTATTATTTTATACTTTTCTAATTATTATTATTATTATTATTTATTCTTCTAATTCTTCTATTTATTATTAGTTTTATTATTATTTAAAATTAGTCATTAATAAATACTTTTTTTTATTTTTTTTATTTTCATTTTATTTTATCAATTTAATTCGTAGTAGTAATTTATTTTGATGTATTTTTCTATTTATTTATTTTTTCATTATATAGTTTATTATTATTGTTGCCGTTTTTGTTGTTCTTTAACTGTTATGAAAGTTAGTTATGAAATAACACATTATTGTTAATAATTAAGCTTCAAAAGCTGATATTTTGGTGTAATGCTGTGTAAAATCTCAATTATTTTCGTTACAGGTCGAGAACAGAAGTATGAGGAAGGAATAGCACTTCTACGGAACACTTTAGCCAATCAGAGCGACTGCGTGCTGCACAGGATGCTGGGGGATTTTCTCGTAGCTGTTAATGACTATCAGGAGGCCATGGACCAGTACAGTATAGCGCTAAGGTAACGTCATCCACACTGTACGGTAAAATCGTAAGCATTAGAGTCGAGCAGAACTGACTGTTCTATTCCTCTTCTGTAGCCTCGATCCAAATGACCAGAAGTCTCTGGAGGGCATGCAGAAGATGGAGAAGGAGGAGAGTCCCACAGACGCCACGGTGGAGCTGGACGGGGACGATATGGAGGGCAGCGGGGAGGAGGGAGATCTGGAGGGCAGCGACAGCGAGGCGGTGCAGTGGGCTGATCAGGAGCAGTGGTTCGGCATGCAGTGACCCTCAGCACTTCAGAAAAACACCCACACTCTTGGATTTTGATGTGTGAGAGTGGAGAGATGCCATTATTGCTCACTGCTGCTGTCTAGTGGTGAGTTACGAACACTGACTTTATTCGGATTTGTGGATGACCTTTGGATTTGTTTGGTAGCTTGTCCTTAAAGTTTCCAGTTTTGGCATATCCAAAGATTATCTTTCTCATACAGCACTACACAGATTCAGTCTGTCACCAGCTTGGCCACAAGCTGCAGATGTTGGACTAAATACACAAATGATTCACTCTTAATGTATTTTCTAACAGTTTTTAAACATCATGGGCTTCACTTTTGCTGTTTTGGGTTAAACACAGGACTAGGCAACTGTGCTACTTATTTTTCATAAAGGTGTCAGATCTGTCATTTGTTTTGCATGCTCTAAGCTTTTTTCAGTAAAAGTGATGATTGTTAAAGAGGCATCTTTTAAATGAACCACAATCACACAAAATCTTTAGGTTTTTTTTCTGATCTGGTGTGTAATGAAGACATGTCAAAGTCGTATATCACGCCAAAATCAAAAAGAAAAGGTTTTGTGTAGAAAATGAATCCTGTTAGGAATTTCACATTTTTATGGCATTTAAGTACATTTCAGCCATTTGTTTAATGCTCCTTCAGCGTGGTGATTTCTATTAAGATAATGCAGCGATACTATTTAAAAAAAAATTTTTGCTTTGAAAATGTTTGTATTAAGAGATTTATTACTTATACAAAAGTGGCTTATTTTATGCATTTTTTTCCCTTTTGGTTTTGGTGTGAATAACTCATATAAATTCATTTCTGTAGCCCTATGTGCGTTATTTTTTTTCATTGTCTTGTTTTGTTTCTGTATTGTTGTAAATAAGGCTATTTTTAAATGTTTTTGAATTAAAATCATGGCATGAAAAATGTTGACGTGCTCAATGTTACTAAACAGAATCTCGCTTTTCCTCATACAAAACCCTGTTGACACGGTAAAGAAACAGCAGTGCAACCATGTAATATCATTTTATTAACCAAGTCTTTGTGATAATTACAACACTGATTCGGCAGCACCCGCCCTCTGTTGTCATGGGAACTGCTGTAAAAGACCGCATGTCTCTCAATGTCACACACACCTAACACGAGCCTCTGCTTTAAAACATATTGCACATCCCCGGTGCAAAGCAACAAGAACAATCAGTTTTGGTTAATTTAAAAGATCTGAGAAACGATGCCTTTTTCACTAATGGCATCTTTTTGTCTTTTCAAATGAAATATTGCAGTGCTATACAAGAGTTTCTAACAAAAGGGGACATGCACCATGAAAACTGCTGTAATGTTTAATGCATTTATTTTTTTTCCCCCAAATTTCACTGGCTTCAGACGGGTTTAACCTGGAATATCAGGTCTAAATTTTTCCACTCCTAATGTTTGAGCTTCTTCTAAACTAATGAGACAAATTCTTAGGTTTTAGCACAGTTGACATGCAGGCCTAGAAAGATGTGTGGAGCTGCCGAAAACAACATGCACTAAAGTCAAGAAAACCTCAGCTTCTGCAAGGAATACAGAGAGCGGATTGGCTTAATCATCCCGAGCTAGAGAGAGAGAGAGAGAGATGGCAAAATAAGGACACATTTGAGCAAACAAATGAAAAACACAACGATACTGTATACATAAAGAAATGTGATGTCATGCAACTATAGTTAGACATGATTAAATGCCTCTTTACAGAGTTACATATAGATCCTTTAGAAACATTGTAGAGACAGTTGCACGACGTCAGTCAATCTGATGCAAGCAGCAGTACAAACAAACATGAGGTTGTGAATGTGTATTATGTGAGCAGTACTCACTCGCTGATGCACACAGGACAAAATTATTAGTTTTAATAGCAAATTTAATCATGCATGTCTGTTGGTCACCTGCAGTAAGACACTTTTACAAGAGAACTGATCATTATTATTATTATTTTTAAAGGAAGAAAAAAAAAAATTGGACCCCTAATGAATAAATTGTGCCATTTATAGATGTAAAGAGGTCCCGTGTAATAATGCCAGGGTTTTAATCTCAGAATTCATCCTAGATATAACAACAAAAAAGGGATCATTTGTGCTCAGTTCATTTACTCAGCATCTAGTATTTACACACACACATTACAGTAAAAATAATTCATCTATAATATTACAATCACTACACTGTTCCTATAAATACATCCAGCACATGAAAAAGTAAACATCTTCCGAGGATCTGCGCAAAGCATATTCTAAACACACTGTCAGTGTCATGTTGTCTTTTTTACTAAAGCATTAATAACATAAAACCATGAACAGCTAGTGTTTTAGTTGAAGGGAAGAAGTACATTTGGCTAGTCTTCTATCGAGCAAAAATAAAGTCAGGAAAGGGGTCCTAAGAAAGCAACGGACGGAACTGAGGTAGCTGCAATCTACTTAACACAGAGGAAATCTTTTTGCTTCAAGCGAGGAAAGGAAACAGAAACGACATGGGTGACGTTGCAGTGGAAAACATCTAAATATAACCCAAATGCACATTCGCTCTTTTTGGCCCAGCGGACTCAAAAGGCTATAAAGAAATCTTAGAGCTCTGAGCCAAAAATATCCAAAGAAATCTGATCAATTTTTCATCTCTGCACTTTAAGCATCCAAAAAAAGGCCATAAGGGGGACCTGAGAAAATATACACCTTTCATAAGAAAACAAACAAAAAAAAAGTGCTTAAAATTGAATGATAAAAAAGGAACATACTATTCTCCGACAACAATATGCCATATATGAGGATAAACATTATATATACACTTAAAAAAAAAATTTAAACAAGGCTGAAATGCATGTGCAAATGTGAACGGGTGACTGTTGTTCCTTGTTAATGTTTCTTCTCTGGTTATTTGGAGTCATGTGTTAGCTTGGATGGGTCAGGAGGACCAGAGCTGCTGGGTTATGTTAGTGTCTGTGCCGTACAGCCACACCACTAGAGGGAGTGTCAGAGCTACGAAGGGCCAGGAGACGCCCTCAGTGCATGCAGAGAGGGACCAGCCTCTCTTGTCGGGCTCCTGGTCCAGGTCTTTACCGGGCTCCGGGTAGTTCCTCGCGATGAATTTGAGCAGCTCGTCCATGAGGATGACAGGCAGTGAGATCTTCAGCACCATCAGCCACTGGGTCACATTCAGAGCGGTGATCTGGAAGATGACCTGAGGAACAGCAGAGGGTGAAGCAAAGAAAATATGGAATGAAACGGGGATCGACACAAAGGCTTTCACAGACACCAGTGTACCAACAGCCTATAGGCTTTAATTATATTTTATTTAATAATCATTGACAATAACGGTCTTTTATTTAATATATTAGTGAATGTACAGCGCTCTCTCCCACCTTCAATACCACGACTGAGGTGCCCTTGAGCAAGGCACTGAACCCCCAACTGCTCCCCGGGCGCCGCAACAAAAAATGGCTGCCCACTGCTCCGGGTGTGTGGTCACGGTGTGTGTGTGTGTGTTCACTGCTGTGTGTGTGCACTTAGGATGGGATAAATGCAGAGCACTAATTCCGAGTATGGGTCACCATACCTGGCCACATGTCACTTCACTTCACTATTATTTAATATACTATTTATTAAATTAATTAACTTATTACTTTCTACTTTTATGCTTATTAATTATTATGAATGATATATTTTATAATATAATATAAATAAGTAATAACATGTCCACACAATTTTTAAAAGGATTTCAACGTAAAAAGTATGTATTCATATAGTATTCAGTATAGATTTCTTTATTTTAAATAATAATAACAACAACTATAGATTTTAGAATAACTATATAGATTTTTCTGAGTGACATGGATATATATATATATATATATATATAT